AAATCGCCTATGATTTCCCCCTTTCGTTTTGATCCGCGCTCGCGCGAATCTCGAACCTCGCCGAGCACGACAGTATGTATGATATTAATTATATATATAACGTTGAAAAAACTTTCATATTTGAACATTGCAACTTCTCACAATCAGCAACGTTCTTTCAATGTTTTATGCTGTATGTATACCTAAGTATCCGATATACATCAAGTAGCGTAATTTTAATTTCGTAAATTTCCAAAAATATAAAAAGTAAGAACGAGATAAAGCATAAACATAAATGTTTTTTTTATCAATTTAAGGGTGAGGATCTAATATGTCATAACTGAGATGCCATAATTTACACAAGACATAAAAAGTTTTAACGTTAAATTCAAAATGGAATAAAGAATTAAGTATTATAATATTATATTATTAATAAATATAAATGGCATGCATTAATAAACCTTTAGCAAAAATTTAAAACGTACATAAACATACATTCGTATTACAAAATTATTAATAAATATAAATGGCATGCATTAATAAACCTTTAACAAAAATTTAAAACGTACATAAACATACATTCGTATTACAAATCATATATGACATATAAACGTATGGTTTGTTGTATCGCTCAAAAATTTAAAGAGTAATGAAAGTCATAAATTTATACAATACAATGCAACGTAAATCAAGGATCAAGAAAAGATTTTTTTAAAGAAGATTAACAAATAATAATTTTACAATATCTTAACAAAATACTATCTTCAGAATAAATTGCTACTTTCATCTCAATCGCTTATCTTTACTGTGAATAGCATTACAAAACTTTATTCAATGAATATATACTCTACAAATACATAAATGCTATGCAACTAATTACTACTATCATCTTGAATTTAACAATAATTGTTAAGGAGATCCTAAAGTTATCTGTTTTACTGATTAAAGATAATAATTTTTGTATCAAATTTTCATATACTGCTATACATATACTGCTTTTATATATTTGAAAATCGTTTTCCACAATTAAAGTATAGACATTAACGAGGGAAAGGAAAAAGAAGAAATATAGGGGAAATCGGGACTGGTTGATACACGGAGCACGTTGATACATTCAAAATTGCTGCAAAACAACAAACGATAATATTATATAAAAAATATAGTATTTCCGCAAAAACATTGTAGTCATGCTGCAATAAGATATTTTGGACTGAATAGCATATTTTTAGAAATAAAAAATAATTTCAGTTTTTGATAGCCAAAAGTAAAATAAATCAGTGACATATTAAATGTTATATTTATAAATCTGTTTATTATATTATAGTTCCAACTATTTTCTTAGAATCTTTACTTTATAAGTAATAACTTACAATTATATTAACGTCTTCAAATTTTTTTTGCTTAAGCAAACAATTAAAATGTGTAAATATGATAAGTCGGGACTAGTTGTGACGGGGTATGTTAATTGTTACAGTGTTTATTTTTGTTTTCAATCGAAACAAATTTAAAATAATGTTAGATTTCTGTAGTCTTTCCTAGTGCAATCCTATATTTATATTTTTTTTCAATGTGATATATATGTATAAGAGGAAGACTGATAAATATTTATGTTTATATCATTAATGTTACATTAATGTGTATATTTTATTTGAAAATTATAAATGAAGTTATGTTATGCACAATTTTTTTTATTTCCTATCTAATTAAATGCGTTATATTTTGAAATCTGGATGTGTAATGACTGATTCCAGTAATTGTAACAATTGACCCCGCATATATATGGGGCCGGTTGTTACAAGTTGCATTACTTTATATTTTCCATTAATATAACAAAATTAGTTATATTATTGAATTATAAAAATAATTTCTATGTTGTTAAAGCATGTGGCTACTAAAAAATATCTTTGCGGTATTTATTTTATTTATTAGTCACATGTAAAAAAAAAATCATTAAAAAAAACTGTATCAACCAGCCCCGGTCTCCCCTACGGCATTTTTAGCGCGTAGGATTTATGCCGTAGCACAGACGTTTTATTATTTATTTATAAATATAAAAGTAAATAATAATACTTGATAATACGCCTTTTACAATACATTAATCATAAAATTCATGCATGTATATACTTATGTATGTACTTATTCATAACTTGTAATAATATGTTTTTGATTTATTTATTATATGAGTAAATGCAAATTACGTTTCACGTGTTATTCACTATTATTATCTAGATTACTAGTACATAACAGGCGCGCGCTTCGCGTATTAAACCTCATACATCTTCCAATAACATTTATACCATTTTAATTAAACAAATTTAACAAGTTTTGAAAAAAAATAAATTTTCAAAAAATGACGTTTTAATCGGCCATTTAAAAAAAAAAATAAAAAAAGCCACATAATGCATCTTTAAGATGAGCCCAGAAAGAAGTCGATATATCTTTATTTTTCTGGAAGATATGAATTTTTAAACATTGGGGAAAAGAGGCTTCAAAGCAGGTAACATATGGCAATTTTAAGATAGGGTTTGTATTTTTTTTGAGTCATTTATCCCACTCATAAGTGACCGTATAACTCACCCTTATTTTTATAATGCAAAAATGCAAGAGTTTAAAGAAAATTCTTTTTTAATATAAAAAATAAATAATTTGGATTCCTAATATTTTTTTATAATAGTAAACAGTATAAAGTTTTTACTGGTTACTATAGTTCATTAAACTACTATAGTTCATTTAATTTAAACTTAATAGATAATATCTGATAAATTAAGTTTTTAATAGGTGCGGCATATACATATATACCGGGTTTACCCGACAAAAAATTAACGTTGTAATCGTCAATTGTCAATTTTTTGTGCGTTGAATTTAAGATTACGGCTCTAATTTAAGATTACTTTATACAAAGTCATAAGTCATAAGTGCCAATGAACAAAAAATTAACAAATATAAAAAATATTTTCTTAAAGACTCTGTGATAATTAATCAAATATGATAAGAAATATATGCCTATAAGAGCCTGATGCAGGTGTCAATGCGCAATAATCTTTATTAAATAATAGTAATATTTAAAACATATGTTTCAACCCATAGGTTTGGGTTCTCCTCAGTGTAAGATACAAATTTAATAGCTACAGAATAGTCCAAGCTTAGTCATAAATCCAATAGTGGTGTGAAGAAGCGTACAAACATAATCGCTCGCCAGATTTTAAGTGAAGAAGCTTATAATTGGGGGAAGGATTTTGCCTTCCACTAAGAGATAGCGAGCTTGTCACGATCGAATGTGTGAAACAAACAGAAAATAGTATAGACAGACTTCCTTTTCCTGACCTTGAGAAACAAGGTTTTAGGAAGGGTTTCTCTCCAATGCTCCAAGGTCAGGAAAAGGAAGTCTGCTATTTTCTGTTTGTTTCACACATTCGATCGTGACAAGCTCGCTATCTCTTAGTGGAAGGCCAAATCCTTCCCCCAATTATAAGCTTCTTCACTTAAAATCTGGCGAGCGATTATGTTTGTACGCTTCTTCACACCACTATTGGATTTAAGACTAAACTTGAACTCTTCTGTAGCTATTAAATTTGTATCTTACACTATTGAGGAGGACTCAAACCTATGGGTTGAAACGTATGTTTTAACTATTACTATATTATTCAATAAAGATTATTGCGCATTGACATCTGCGTCGGGTTCTTATGGACATATATTATTCTTATCATATTTCAAAAAATTAACGTTATAATCGTCAATCGTCAATTTTTTGTGAACTGAATTTAAGATTATGACTACGAATTCTATTATTTATGGCTATCTTTCTGCTCAGGCCCTTCCGAATTGGCGCTTTTGATTTTTCGAATCTATTTTTTTCAATTCCATTCAGGTTAGGTAGTACCTTATAGTTAAAAAGATAAAAGTTAAGTTAAAAAGTTAAATAATTTTAACTTAACTTACATTTACAAGTTACATTTTAGGCTCGTAACTTTTAATTTAATTTAGTTACAAGTACATTTTATCGGTAACTATATTAATTTTTGATCTAACTTTCTTGAAGTTACATTTTTAGTGCTTCTTGTAAACCCAAAATAAAATACATGTCTAAGTTAGTGTCTTTAAACTCAAATTTGAGAACACACATCAAGGCAATTGTAATAATAATATAATAAATATATAGTCTGGCCACGGGAAGAAATCACTGTCCGCGGATCTTCTGTGCATTAAATCGTTGCAGGAAGAAGTCCTTCGAAA